CATTCCAGCCTTCCAATTATCGGCCGATCTCCTTGCTCACAGTGGGATGCGAGATATTTGCCAGCATCTCTTTCAAACGACCCAAGCACGGAAGGGCTGCCGATGAAACACTACGGGAGTCTCAATATGGTTCCCGGCCCCGCCGCGGCACCAGCGAGGAGCTATTTGTGGCGCGCCAGCTGATCGACGCCACATTGGAGGATAAAGATGGCAAACTATTGCTCTTACTTCTTGAGTGGAGCAAAGCTCTCGACCGCATCGGCCTCGAAGGACGCGCCCACGCACTACGACAATTCCGCGCCCCACCAGCAGTGGTCGAGATGATCAGGGGCATCTACAAAGTACGCAAATCGGTCGTTGAAGACGCAGACACGACGTCATCGCAGAGAGCACAGCCCGTTGGATTCGCAAAAGGGTGCCCGCTTTCGCCATATTTGTTTATCATAGCTATGTCAGTATTCCTGGAAACTGTTGACGAGCGCTTGGCGTTGGAAAAGCCGAATAGGGATGCCCAATCATATCGGGTCAGTGAAGACGCGCTGTGCGCAGACGACGCCACGCTGTTCTCCAGGGGCCCCGACGCGCCCCAAACACATCTAAAGTTGGTGGTTGCGGTTGGAAAAACTTACGGGATGGAACTTCACTGCGCTTGTCTTGGGGCTGTCCTCTCCACTGCTCGCGCAAACATTCCCCCCCCCGCCCGCAACTTGATCGCAGGACTTCTTAAGGCCGTGACGGTAGGTACCACATTCCGCTTGGCAACGACACCAACAACGCCGGCGACGACCGCGACAACGACAACGACGACGACGACGACTACGACGACGCCGACGCCGACTACGACGACACCGACGACGACTCCCATGATTTCGACGACAACGACAACGACGACGATGATGACGCCGACGACGACGACGACGCCGACGACGACGACGACGACGACGACGACGACGACGACGCCGCAGCCGCCGCCGACGACGACGACGACGACGACGACGACGAAGACGACGACGACGACCAGGGAGGAGGGAGGACGACCACGGCAACAACGACGACAACGACGAAACAGGAGAGAGGACGGCGACGACGCGAACGACAAAGAAAGAGGGAGGACGGCGATGCCGACGACGACAACGACGAGGGAGGAGGGAAGACGACGACGACGACGACGACGACGACGACGACGACGGCGACTTAAATAGGAGGGGCGACGACGAGACGCCGACGACGGACGACGACGACGACGAGGGAGAAGGAAGGACGACCACGGCGACAACGACGACGGAAACGACGACGACGACGACGCCAAAGAGGACGGCGACGACGACGTGGAAAGACAAAGGACGACGGCGACGACGACGACGAGGGAGGACGGCGACGACGACGATGACGACGCAAAAGCGAGCGCGCACCATTTTGTTGAAAGTCCGAGTTGCGAAACTTTGTGTGTTTGTAAGTTTTTTGGACACGATTTTGAAATCCTTCCGAAACCGATGGGTTTTGGAGGCTTTCGTCATGCGCGCGCGACGACGCGCGCGTCTGCATTTCGTCTTGTTTTCGCAGTGGGTTCAAGCGACGGCGCACGCGCAAGGGCGTTCGACAGATTTCGACATCTACGCGCGAGAAGCCCGTTCGGTAGCATTTTGTGAAAATATTGAAAAAAAACTATGGTTTTCTTAAGATTTCGCAAGAGCTCGCGCGTAAACTGCTTCAGCAAATCAGCGTTGCGAAACCATGTGTTTCTGTATGTTTTTTGAAATTCGATTGCAAAATCCCCCCGACACCGAATGTGTTTGACGGATTTCGGCATGCGCGCGCGACGACGCGCGCGCGCACTTCGTCCCATTTTTTCGCAACGGATTCGCGAAACAAGTCTTGTGTTAGAGCAAACATGTCCCCGCGTATCGGTGTTCACAAGGGAACGTCAGGGGGAGCGATGCCGGCCCCCCTGGGATAGTGCAGATTCATATTTAGGATGGACATGTGGTCTTAATCGTGTATGATTTACATACCCGGAAGGGGTGGGGATAACGCCGTCGGGGGGGGGGGGGGAGGGGTGGTTTTTGTTTTTCCTTTTTCTTATATATATATATATATGTATATATATATATATATATAAAAAAGAGGATGGTCTCCGGGAAAACAAAATTATTGCGAATAAAGACGAACGCATAGATTGTTGGACCAAATGGTGAACCAATGCAGTGCAAAAGCAATGCAGTATATTGGGGTCTCTCGAGTGTCGACGGGGGCCCTCGCGCGGAGCTCACGCGAAGACTTGCGAGGCGTCTGCGGAAAATACATAAGATTTTGCCAGCGTTTGCAATCAGAGTGAGCAGTGCAGAAGTTCGGGGACTCGCCAGCACCAGACCGTCATCATTATCTTTATTGGAAAGGCAGCTTAAACTTTATGGTAAACTTGCTCGGGACGCTTTAAGAACCCCCCATAAAGCAGTGGTTTTCGAAAGTTGCCAGTCTTACCAGGCGGCGCCGCGGAAATGGAATATTCGACGCTCGCGAGAGCGGTTCCGATAACAGTGGACGTCTTACTCAAGTGCGCAAGCCCTGGCCGTAGCAGGAGGTGACCGCGACGAACTGCAAACCTTATTGCAAAACCCTTGTGAGTAGCAGTCGGCTGTGGCGCAACACTATTCAGTGTAGTCTCGCTTCTCCCTTCCTCGTCCCCCCTTTTTCCTCTTCTCCTCCTCTTGGCCTCCTTTGCAACGGGGTGTCCGCGGTGGTTGCGCATTTCCCCCTCGCACCACGCTGGAACACATTGCAGCCGGCGTGGAAGATCCGAGGCGCTGCGGTAGCACATTTTTTCCCACGCGCATGTGCTACTCTTCTTTGCCAATACGCCGTTTGGGCGCGGTTTCTGTGTGTCTGTCTGTCTGAATTTGCGAGTAGTGGAAAGCGCTCGTCGAGTGGTGGACGCTTGAGGCCGCGGATCGGGCTGCCGCTCTGGAGCGCGCGGTCGCCGCAGGCGTGGTCGACTCTTCGCTGCCATGGCCTGGAGCGCGCCGCTGCCGACGGGGAGGCGCTGCGCCAGCAGGGCGCCGCCAGTGATGCCCAGCCCCGGGAGTTCCACGGAGGCGAAGCGGCCGCTGCCCCCACAACCGCTGCCCGAGTGCCACAGGCAGATGTCGTTCGCGCGTCTCGGCGGGATGCTGGCGCCGCGCCTTGAGGCCATCGGCGCGCGGAGGTGGGCAAGCCTGCCCCCCTCAGCGCCCCCTGCGGGGCCCGCCCCGCGCCAACTGCAGGAGGGCGACTTTCGGGCACCCACTTAAAGATAATATTCGCCGTCGAGCTGATGTTCGTCTTCCTGCTCACGCGGCCCAGGTATTGCAGATGCGTTTCTGGATTTCCTCCTGTCGTGGGCGGCGGCGAACAGCTCATGCGCCCGTCCGCGAGCGTCGGTTGACTACTCGGGGCGCTCGCGCCCGCGCCACGCAGAAAAAAGGTCGAGGCGGAGGTCGCCGCAGATCGGAGCCCCCGGACTTTCACGCGCGGTGGGCCGCAATGGAAGTGGACAGACGAGACTGATTATGTTCATTATGTTGGCCAGACTTGTCGGGGTCATAAACCCATCGGGCTTGTCGTTGCCATTTCTCGCTTCTGGGTTGGGGCGCGTAGGGATTGCGCCATGCAGTGGGAGACTGCCAACAGTCGAAAGCTGTTTGCTGCGGGGCCCTTCTCTTCCAGCGTGGACACGGTTTGGCGTCAAAGTGCGTGGAGTGAGAGGGCCACGAGGTCCAATGTGTGCTCCACCTCCGCGTCCTGGGATTTAGTCAACTTGAATGAGTCGATTGATGTGGACGTCCCCCAGCGATGCTGCGAGCAGGGGTTCCCCATGCAGGTGGCTCGTGCGTGCGACGCTGCGTACCAATCTGCTCGTGACGTGGCCATGCGCAGCAGGGGCGAGGGGCCCAAGTCCGCGTGGCGTGGCATTGTGATTGGATGCGGCTCCGCCATCGCGCTTGCCAGAGTGTTGTCTGTAGCGGCCTTAGACGGGCTTGGGCTGCCAAGATCGGTTTCGCTCCGTGTTATGTCGACGATGATACCCTCTCTTGCAATGGCACCGCAAACGCGGTCGCCAGTGATATTGCCGAGGCCTCCTTCAGTTTTCAGGACGGTGGCGTCAAGGCGTGAGTTGGTGTTGTTTGCATCGCGAGTTGTCGGCAGGCTGCTCAAAGCCATGTTCGCCTCGTCACGTGCCCCTCCCTCGGAACAACGCGCAGATGAACGCGTCGGCGCCCGGCCGCCGTCCCGTCGCGCGTCCAGGGATAGGGGCCGACGATATTGTCATTTCCCTTTTCAGGAAGATTGCAGCACGGACTGGGGCCGTCAAAACAGACTCAGGATAAAAAATCGGTCCCATGGAAGTTGTCCAAATGTCTGGGGGTCCACGCGTCGAAGAGTTTGGAGCTCCGGATGTTGGGCGAGGAGGGCGAAGAGAAGAGCGAAGAAGGTGGACTGCGCTTTCGATTCAACCACTGGCTGGTCAGGATAGAACAACACTCGTTCGCCAAGTGAAACTGGAGCTGGGCCCCAAGTCGTGCACAACAGGCGCTGGCTGAGGAAACAACATTGGCGTGGACTTTCGGCACGGGTGCCGAGACATAGCTTTAAGGGCCGTAGAAAGGAGCCTCAGCGACGAAGCCGACGGGGCGCGTTGCCGTTGCCCTCATGTGCCGAAACTAGAGAAATAACAAATCCAACCCATCTCCTCCACACCTCGCCATCCTAGCCCGTCCATCGGTCCCCTCCCAAACAAGTGGCCCAATTATGCGGCACAGGCCACCAGGCACAGGCGCTCGTAGGAATATGAGGAGGGAGGCTACTACTACCACTACTACCCACAGTGGGCCCTCGGACGCAGAAGATAACAACAGCGCAACAAACAAATCCGTTCCAATTTGTTCGGGGGTCCTGCCCTCGGATCCTGGAGCTCTGGGTCTCTCCTCCCCCGCTCCCTTCCCCTCCCCGCCTCCTCCCGGAAGCTTCGGCGGCGGCTCCACCGCGCCCATCTTCGGCGCGGCCAGCAGCGTGCCCGTGTCCGCCAAGCTGCTGGGCCTGGCGTGCTTGGCGTTGCCGCTGGAGGGGAGCGCGGGGGGCGGGGCGCCGGGGGAAGGAGAATCGACGGGGCACCAGGGGGGCCAACTCCAGCGAGCAGGCCCTCGAGCGAGGGCCGGGCCTTGGAGTCGGTTGGGGGTTTGAGGTGGCCGAGCATGGACTTGTTCAAGCAAGACAGGGGAAAGAGGTCAAGGTGTTGGGTTTGCAGGTTTTTTTTTGTTGCCCTAACCTCTGGAGGCCGCTTTCGGGCCCCTTGGCCGCCAAGAACACATCCGGAGTGAAAAACCGTGATGGACCCCTGGAGGGGTCCGGGCACCAATTTTGAGCGGAGTTGGCCTCGTCCCCGCTCTTGGTTGATTTTTTGGGGCCCATCCAGTTCAGACCATTCGCGGCCGGGCCGCCCCCAAGGCGGGGCCGGATCTGCACCGCTCCGGCGTGCCTCCGGCGAACACAGTGGGGCCCCGGGCCTACCAGAAAGAAGTCGGGGGCGAAACGCTGTCCACGGGGAGGGGGTCGAGACTTCTGGTGGCCGGATTTTGGCCGTCTTGTCGACGTATTGAGTTCACCATTTACCTCGGAGGTTGATAGACTTCCTTCTTACCCTGACACGTCGATTAGCGAATTGGCCATTTTCGGTTCGCGAGAGGTTTGTCCACCGCCGATTGACCCACGGGTTACCAACGGGACCACGGGACAACCATGGAACAAGTCTCGGGACAACAACGGGATGGGCCACGGGACGACAACGTTACGGGACAAGCCACGGAGCGACCACGGGACGATAACGTTACCGGCCAAGCGCGGTCAAACCATGGGGCAGCCCGCGGAACAGCTTGCGGGACCGCCCGCGGGGCAGCCCGCGGGGCCGCCCACGGGACAACCGACTTGAAAACCATTGCGCATCCAAACGATGGACCCCAGTTGCGACCGACGTATCATCACCTTCGGGCAGCTTCGCCTCGGCCCCGCCCGACACGAACCGAAGTGGATCTCTCTTTCTCCTGGGGTCACTCCGCTCGCACCCCCCAGCCTCCGACGCACCGTCACGAGATGGAGGAGGGGGGAGGCGAGAGGAGGGGCGAGGAAAAAAGGAGGTGGAAGAGGTCAGAGGGGGGAGAAGGAGGAATGTGTCGTCCTCCTCCTCCTCCTCCTCCTCCTCCGCCTCCGCCTCCGCCTCCTCCTCCACCTACTCCTCCAACTTCTCAGTTTGCTTACGGCACGTGCCGCCGACCCTGAAGGCGGGACCTACCCCAGAGACCCCGCTAGCGAACTCCCTTTGGACCCGCCGGGACCCCTGGGGGACGGCATTCTGATCCGGGACCCCCCACCCACCTCCCGTGGGTCAGGGAGTGTAGCATTGGCATCACGACGTTGAGAGCCCCATGCGTGCATGAGTAGCATCAGCAGCGGTACCAGCATCGGCCACGCGGCTGGGACAGGTGAGCCCAGGTGCTAGTACAATATTGGTTGCTATTTGCTTCCAGTGTGTTGCATCGGCTGCAGGTCCCCCGTGTCGCCCCTAGTTCGTGGCTCCGGGGTCCAGCGTAGAACCAAGTTTTGGGGAATGCCAGCCCATCCTCGGGACATGTGGTCCTGACGTTATTTTGGGATCCCCAGGGCAAACGTACGGTTTGGTCGGGCACAGCTGCCACCCCAAGTTGGGGTTCCCACAGCTTGCGTCGGCCCAGCTTCAGGTGTGACTCGGACGCTGGAGCATACAGTCGGGGCCCTGAAGAAGGAACCCTTTTGGTTGGGGAGGGGCTCCGCGTTCCTTAAGTGTTTCACAGCTTGCCTCATGTTTTCCTTTTGCTTTCGATAGGAAATCGAAGTTTAACTTATGGAAAAAAGGGGCCTCGTTCCTTATGTAGGGTTCCTTAGGTCCAGGCCCCGACTGTATACATTACCAGTGGCGGGCTGTTTTTCAATCTCAGGACTTTTTCAGTGTCGGGGACGACGTCGGGGTGGTGTGGTGTATATTATTTCCCGCGTTGTCCCGGGGAAGCAACATAATATCTATACACCAGGATCCCGTGTACTCCAGGATCCGCTTTCCTGTTCGAATTTTTCAGCGCGGGGTCGGAAAAAGCGTCGGTGTGTAGAGTTGGGTTTTTAGTAGCATTGCAGTTATGTTGATTCCAGTGCCCTAGTGGCCATATCCATGCCAGCTCTCATACACGTCATACCTCACTCCGTTGCGTTTTTCCCGCGACCTCGTGATGGCCAGGGACCTCTGGCTGGTGACCTCCGAAGGCCAGCGGCCTCCAGAAAGTCCCCGGTGTCCGGCCGGGTAATCGTCTTTAGCAGCAGGCACCATTGTAGCATAGTCTTGCTTGCACTTCCGACGGATGCGGATTGGCTTCCAGTTTTTTCTCGTGCTGCAGGTTTGGCTCAAGCGAGTTGGAAGGGGAAAGCATGCTCCCTATGACCTTCCATGTTGGCCCGGGGCGGCCGCACCAACCGTGGAGCCCGCAGCCTGCCCACAACAATCTCATTTTGGGAGTTGCGGCTGGCTGAGACGACCGGCTACCTCAGGGCAGTCCTCGGCGTGGCACCGCGGCCCCAGCGGGACCCACTGTGGCTCCCCCTGGCCTCCCGGGACGAGCTCGCGGCTTACCTCAGGGCCGTCGCTGGGGATCTGGAGATCGACCCAGAGTCGGAATTGAGCGAGTAATGGTTGGAGGGATTCGGGTCTGACCAGAGATAGCGCCAGAGGACAGTCGAGCCTTTTCAAGGGTTGTGAACCCAAGCGAGGGATTCTTCCACCCTGCGTTTGGAGCTCCGCTCGCCCATGGGTTCCCAGCAGCGCCGCTGGCGCCGCCCGCTGCGCTGATGAGCGCGCGGTGCAAGGCATGCTCAGACGTCATCGTGGGCCCGTCGGTGGTGTGCGACATATGCCTTACCGACGTCCACCTGCACGCCGCATTGGCAGAGGCATGCAGCCTGTTTTGCCTGCTTCGCAGACCGCGATTTCGCATTCGGTCGTCGGTAGGCCGCCCGGTGAAGCGGCGTCGCATGGCAGGTTGGCCGATGGCCGGCCAGGCAGTGGGTGCCACCCTCGGCACTGCAGCGACGGGGACGCAGCGTTTGGCTGTTGGCGCCGCCGGAGCGCGCCAAAGTGTGGGCGGCGGTTGCGATGATTTCTGCGCCTGCTCAGCCGCAGCTCCCAGACGAGTCGCCCGCAGCAGCTGTTGAGAGCACTGGCAGGGCGGGCGCGCCCGATACGAGCCAGGACCAGCAACGACCGCCAGCCATGACTGTGGACCTGCGCCTGGCGGAGCTGCGAGAGTTGCGCCTGAGGCGCAGCGCCTCAGCCACAGGGGCGGGCAGCTGGAGGCAGAGGGGGTCGCCGAACGCGCATCGGCAAAAAACAGCCGCAGCCCAAGGTGGGGCATCAACGCTGGGGCATCGGACCCCAGCGCGCGGGGGCCGTCTGGACCCGGGCACGCCGCCTTCGCAGGCGAGCGGCGGAGCAGGGGCCAGCGCGCATTCCTTTGCTGGTGGGCCAGCGGTTCCGGCCGGCGCTCCCACCATCGATGCCTTGCGCGCCGGGGCGACGAGCAGCGAGCGCGGCGAGGCCGAACGCGGCTGCGCCCGTCGCTGATTTCGGGGAGCCCGCGCCCGATGCCGACCAGGCGCCGGCAGCGTCGGCCGCGGCCCGATGCCGACCTGGCGGGGTTCAGGGGTCTGGCTTTAAGGCGGCGGCCGGCGCTCGCGGCGCGCGTCAGCCGCCGCTGCAGCCCGGCGGGCCGATGCCCGGGCTGCGTCCGAGCGGCCCGGGGCCCATGCATTGGGCGGCCGGGCGGGCCTCCCGGCGGGCCGCCGGCAAGGCGCAGAGGCGGCGGAGATGAAGGGAGTTTCGGAGGACCTCCTGGAGGTGGAGGCGGCTTCGGCGGCGATCCCAGGCGCGGCGGACGGGCGCCGCCAGCGAGCGGCCCGCCCCCCTTGCCGCCCGCCGGCTCGGCATCGGCAGGGGCCGACGAGCAGCGCCGAGGAGCCGCGTTTTGATCGGGGGCGGCGCTGGCGAAACAGATAGACGGCGACGCGACGAAGTCGGCGCTCGCTGCCGGCGCGAGCAAGGCTCGCGCCTTGAGGGGCGGGCGCGGCGAGCTGCCGCGAGGGTCGGGGCGCGGCATCGGCCGGCGCGCGCGCGGCGAGGGGGGCGCCCGAGCACCGCCTCAGCCGCGGCCCGCCCGAGCGCCCGCGCGCGGGGCCGAGCGCCGAGCGTTTTGGGGCCGGGCGCCAGATCGTCGGTATTGAGCTGCGCTCGCGCCCGCCGCTGTTGGATTCGGCCCCCCTTGCAGGCGCCGAGCGGCGCGCTGGCCGTCTAACAGACTTCGGCGACCGAGCTCCTCTTCGACGCCGCGATGGGGGCTGGCCCCGGCGCCCCTCGCGGCTGGGCGGCGGCGCCGAAGGGAGCGGAGCGGCGCGATAATTGGGCCGCCGCCCTGGCGCTCTGTCACCGGGGGCTGAACTCGCGAAACTTTTCGCTCGGCCGACGGCAGCGCCTTGGCGCGGCCGCGCAAGATCCGGCCGCGCAGCCGGCGACGTTGCGAGACGCTGTCAAGGGCGTGGCCGCGCCTCGCGAGGTCGACGCGAATTTCCCGGAGTGGATGTTCGCGCGAGAGACGCAGCGCGGCAGCCCGGGCGCCGGCCAATGTTCGCAGCAGCGGGCGCAGGAGTTCCGGCGGCGCTTCGCCGCCGAGGCCCGCGAGCTCTGCGATGCTATTCTGAATGTGGGGTTTGGGTTTGGTTGCAAGGTACTTGTGAGGTAGTTGAAAAGACAGTTATAAGGCATGTGCAACATCGCTGCAAGTCGCTCAAGCGCCAGTAAGTTGTGACATGTGGCATAACGACCTTAGCAAGTTGAGAAACATGTACAGCAGTTGGCGCACACTTGTCTTGACTTAGCCCGAGCTGCCATTCCATGCAGCGATGTTTTTTTTTTTTTTTTTTTTTTTTTTTTTTTTTTTTTTTTTTTTTTTTTTTTTTTTTTTTTTTTTTCTCACGTTGCCCACTCGGCACTTCCGAGGT